ACTCGTTCCCCGGTGTCCTCACTGCTGTGGGCCGTGCTCAGCCTCTGACCCTGGGGGTACAGTGGTAAAAGGTTACCCTTGTGGGTACAGGAGGCAGCTAACGTGAGCAGATTTAACCTGAGTTCGGGCAGCGAGAAGTCCAAGGAGAGCTACTGGGTGAGGCAGGAACAGTGACAGTGGGAGGGTGGATGGGGGCAGTGTCTAGGAAGGTGAGAGGCAGGGAGTGGACTCTGGGAGAGAAGGCCTGGACTTGGAGGGGACCAGCTGGGACCTCAGGGGGGACGTGAGCAGGCTGCAAATCCTCGTGGGCAATGGGCTCTGAGAAGCTCAGTCACTTGGATGCTCCCAACCCCACGTTACCTATGAGGTAAGTAAAAGTTTGCTGCACCTAGTGGTGATGCGGGAAGAGATCACCTTAGTGGTGATGGGTGAAGAGAAGGGGGAAAGAGAACAGCGAACAAGAGGCAAGAAGTGAGCACAGTGGAGAATCAAGGGAGCACGGCTCGGAGTGAGAGGGAGCAGGCAGACCTACAGCCGTCGGGGCTTCCCGAGAAACCGCTGAGCGAATGGAAGCTCTGTTTAACCTCCAAACAAGCAGGGAAAACATGGCAAAGGAGAAAAACAGACCAGGAGGAACAGATGCACAAAATTATTTAGACCCACATTAATATCAATTATTACATTGTTCTGGTTTTTAAAGGCAGGTTTGGAGCTGGATTTAAAAAAAAAAAAAACAACAAAACCCTCTAAACCACCTACACAAAATCTTGGGTCCATTGCCAGGCTCTGGAATTTGTGGGATGGAGGCCTGGGCTGTTCCGTGTTTCAGAGAAAAGCCACCCTAGGATGCTGGGACACTGTGGACATAGAGCTTTGTGACCACTACAGAGTTGCCAGCTGGTCGTACCACTGGACACTAAAGCAAAGAACATGGTCTTGAACCAAAGACTTAAGACACCGTAGGTCCTCCTGGTTTTATGTCCGCACAGGCAGGGACCACAGTGAGGAAGCAGTGTTGGTCACGTGGCAGGAGGGGAACGACGGAGCAGGCAAGCAGACCGCTGCTGCTTCCAGAGCGCTGCTCACCTAGAGGCTTGAGCGGCGAGCGGAAGTGCCCCTGCCTGCCCCCAGCACCCCCAACTTCCTCATCTCCTTCATGGGAGGCACCCTTCAGGCTGTGCGGATGAGAAGCTGTGCGGGACGTGGGACACACAGGTGGAATGACTTCTCTTGCCATGGTCAAGTGCAAAGAGCCTGAGCTTTGGCTGTCGAGCTCCACCATCTGGCCACGGCCAACCCAGAGCAAATCTCTGTGCCTCGGTTTCCTCATCGGTGAAGTGGGCTGTGAAGACTAAGGGAGACCATCACCATGAGCTAACACTCTGCCTAATTCTCAGTACAACCCGTGAGGTTGTTTATCACTGTCGCCCTCCTGCAGACGGGCAAACCGAAAAGAGCAGGCTCACACGGGTGGGGGCACCCCACCCCAGGTCACGTAGTAAGTGACGCAGCCAGAGTTGAAACTCAGGTTTGTCCTCTGACCCCAGGACCTTTATTCCCGAGCTCCCAGCGACACAAAGTGCCTTTACACGCAGCATGTGAAGGCTCGGTAGCATGCTTGGCACAGAGAGGCTCTGGTTTCCCTGCCAGGCCCCGTGATGAAGGCCTGAGAGCATAGCAGGAAATGACCACTGAGGAAGGCAGGGTCAGTGCCAGAGGGAGTGCCTGGAGACCGAGTGTGAGCAAGCATACTCACCCTTGGACTGACCTGGGAGGTTGTGCACCCCACCCCAAGCCCCCCGGACCCCACTGAACGAAGGTGTTCCAGGCACCGCCAGGCAGAGCTGTCCCACCAAGGAGCCAGCCCGACTGTAGTTCCCAGGCTCAGCTCCTCCCACTCAGCACATACCAGCCATTCCCAGGGTGTCCTTCCCGCGTGCAGGAACACCCTCCACCTGCAGGCTCTGCGTGTCTGAGTCTTAACTCACGCCGCCTCTGCCTCCCTCAGCACTGCCTCTGCCCCTGCCCTGGGTCATCGTCCCTGTGCCCTGGTTCCTGGTGGTCTTCGGAGACAGTGCTGGGTCAGCTCACAGCACCCCCACTTTCCAACCGGGGGGCCTCTTGCAGGGGCTTTCCCCACTTGCTAGCGTGGAACACGAGGATGAGAGTTCTAGCTCGCAGGGCTGCAATGAGGGTTACGTGGACTGGTACCTGGAAAGCCCATTCAGAAACACTCAAAAGGCTCCCTTGTAGTTTACCTCCTCCTCCCGACTACACTCTCCCGAAAACGAGCAAGAGCAGGGATCAGCGAAATTTTTCTGCAAAAAAAGCCAGGAAGTGGACAGTTTCAGCTTTGTGAGCCACGTGGTCTCTGTCACAGCCACTCAGTTCTGCTGGACACTGAAATTTGAATTTCATAAAATTTGACATGTTAGAGAGTTCTCTCCTTTTGACTTTTTCATTAAAAAAGTAGAAACCGTTCTTGGCTCGCAGGCCAGGGGCACAGACAGGCGGCAGGCCCGGTTCGGCCCCGCAGGCCAGCGTTTGCCAACCACCGAGTGAGACCAGCTCCTCTTCCTGCTTCTCCGGGTCTTGCCCGGGTTTCCGATCGTGCATGTCGCCACCCAGGCTCGAGTCCCTGCCAGCCGTGGGCTCGTTCATTCGTTCATGCTTCGTGTGTGTTAAATTGACCTGACACCCAGAGCTTGTGATTTCTTGGTCTGCTGATCAATCCATTGATCCACGCAGAGTACAATCCCGTGTCCCCCGGTGAAGGCTGTTCTAAGGACCCCGCACAAAGATGGGTCTGATGTGCTCAGAACAAGGACTGCCTGCCCAGTTCCCCCTCTTTTTGAGGGTAGGGGCAGGGCCGAGGGCAGGGCAGAGGGAAGGGGGTCAGCAGGGAGCCGGCAGAAGACAGCAGTGGAGGAAAGGGTGAGTGAGGGCAGTGGCTGAATCCTGTTATTGTTCACTTGGTTCCTTCTGGCTGCTTATCTACCTCTGCTTTCTGGCTTTCCTGGAAGGCTTGTACTTGGGGGCACCAGGGAAAAAGAGAGGGTGACAGTTTTGGCCGTGCATTCAGAATTCCACAGTTCCCTTGAGTGCCCCTTGCAGGCGTAAATCCCACAGTCGTGTCCTCTCTCGGGTTGAACGACAACATTTGGTGCCCACCCCAGTTATCACACGCCTTGTGCCCTTGGAGGAAGCCGGCTGGTGGTTCTCCAGCTTACATAATCTCTCCGGGCCACGGAGTGCCCGGCAGCAGGGCCCCCAGCATTCCAGTCCTCACGCAGCACACACGTCTCCCCCCGTCTCCCACGGCCACCTGCCCGACCCTCCTCTGGACCTCTGCAGGAGGGGAGGGCGTCCCTTACACCCTGCAAAGGGGTTCTCTCTGGGGGAGGGGAGGAGGAGGGCAGAATAATGAGTGTCTGGATCTGCATCTCTCACTAAACTGCTGTGAAAGCAAATGCCAAATATTTATCTGAGGGACTAATCCATCCTGACAAAACAAGTTTCCCTGAGGACAAGGCAGTGTGGAGGTAGGTGCCTCTGAATAAAAGCTGCTTTGTACCACTGTGGATGGCACCGCAGGAAAATAACTTCTGCTCCAGGGAAAGCCTGCTGCCTCCCCGACCTCTGCCGCCTCCCCGACCTCTGCCGCCCTGCCCCGTGGCCAGTCCATACCAGGCCGAGGGCAAAGCCTGTGGCGGCACTGAAAAGAAAACTCGTGATTATTGCCATTTCCTCACCTCCTTCAAGGGCCTTTCTCTTATGATTTTCTTCTGTCCCAAGTCAAAACCTGTGTCCGGCCAGAGCCTGCTGAAAGCTTTGGTGTCCGTGTGAAGGAGCACTCTCCTCCATGAGTGGCTGGGTCTATGTTTATGTTTTATTTTTAAGCTTTTCTTTGGATGAGGAGAAACGGTTTGCTTATTCATGTAGTTTCCTCTGCCTTTCGTTTATCTGAGGGATTCTTATTCAAAGCTCAGCTCAGATGGCCCCTCACCTGCCCAGTCCCTTATCTCCCAGAAAGGAGACAGCTTTCATTTATTACATCACTCGTGGGTGTCACACACATGCCAGGGGCCTTCGGTACATCGACACCCTTATGAGGCGGGTGCCACCTTATTTCACTGGGGCTCACAGAGGTCAAGTCACTGCCGGTGCCAGCTGGCTGTGAAGTGGAAGAGCCAGGGCTCACACCCTGAACCCTCTGACAACGGAGCCCAGGGCCCCATCACTGTGCCTCCCTCCGTGCCCTCTCCCTGCTCTGTGCGTCCTTCTACTTTTACATCATCTTTTCATGCGTCTGTGTCCACGTAGGAGACCAGGCTTCTTCGCAAATGGGGTTCATGCAAAGGCAATTCATCTCTGTGTTCCCAGTGCCTGGGATAGTGTTTGACACTCTGCAGCCACTCATTCATTCAACAGCTGCTTTGAATGGCTGCTGTGAGCTCAAAACAACTCTGTTCCGGCTCCCAAGGAGCTAAGACCCACAGAGTAGTACAGGACGTGGGACGTCCACATAAACAAGCGTCTGTGCCACAGGAGAGAACATGACACGAGCACTGGAGGGAAAGAAACGCTCTGATGAAACGCTGGCCAGGTCTGAGGAGGCGGAGGCACTAGGGCGAAACCCTGCAGCATGCTCAGGGCTTGGACATACCGGGCTGGGTGTGGGGAGGCAGGGTGGCTGGGAGAAGGGAGGACGTAGGCAAACTTGCCCCTGAAGTCCAGATGCCAGCGGAGAGTCAGAGTGGCAAGTCCCTTCGTGTCACTGAGGGAGAAAAGGGCCATTTCAGACTGTGTAAAAACTGCTGGGAAACGTCAGCCAGCAAGCAGACTGTGAAGGAGGGGTGCTCAAGGCAGACCTCGGGGGTTAGTTTGGGAGACTGGCCCAATGTGGGGGTGAATGAACAAAGACAATTTCCCGGGAGGAATTTTGCAGCCAGTTGTTGTTTTTTTTTTTTGCAATAAATAACCAATATTTAAATAACAACTCTCATTATAATACTACTACCAGCCATTTATTTACTAAACACAACAAGTGGACCACAAGCGCCCCAGGGCCAGCGCAGGCAAAAGACTGGGGCCCAGCACGAAGCCGCAACTACTGCAGGGATGAATCCCTGCTGCGGGAAGGAGCCACTGCCCAGCACCGCGCACGAGGCTGGGCCTCAGGCCCCTTTTCCCAGCCCAGGTTTAGCGGGAAAGAGGGGGCCCAAAGCGATGCATGGTCTGCATCACCAGAGAGAGCTGGTCAAGGAAGCTGACGATGGAAATTCGGAGGAGGCGAGAATCTTCTGCTCTCCAGCGGGCCGCGAGGACGCTGCCGCTCACTGAGAGCTCCTTCCGAACCGCGTCTCGGTGGGGTTCCGCATCAGGGGCCAGGGACCCACAGGCGATGTCTGCCTCCAAGGCGGACGGGAAAGGCACACTGAGGGTGAACATATGTGGTCTCTTGCCCGGCCTTCCGGTCACGAGTGCGGTGGCTCCGCCGGCTGCAGCGGCCGCCCCGCCTACGCTGCTGCCGCCGCGGGGGCTGCCGTAGCCATCCTGGCTGTCCTGGCCGCTGGCTCTGGTGGTGCCCGTGTCTGCTGCCTGCATGGTTGTCGTGATGGCAAAACTTTTAAAAAAATTTTTTCATGTATTGATTTTTTAGAGAGAGGAAGGGGGGAGAGAGAGAGAGAGAGAAACATTGATTTGTTGCTCCACTTATTTATGCATTTATTGGTTAATTCGTATACGTGCCCTGACTGGGAGTTAAACCTATGACCTCTGTATATTGGGACGACGCTCTGACCAACTGAGCTACCCAGTTAGGGCTGCAGAACTTTTTAAGAAAATAATTTGTCATAATTTATCAAGAGCCTAAAAATGCTCATATCCTTCAAACCAGTCATTTCATTCTTCTTGAAGGAAGCTATCTAACAAAGTTATCTTTAAAAGCTTGACACTCAAAGATAATTGTAAAATGTGGTTCACAGAAAGCCATTTAAAATTGATGATTACCAAAAAAAGTTTAATACTATTGGGGGAAATGTTTATATTAAAAGTGGTTATGAGAAAATAACAGGCTGGGAAAAAAACAAAATCGTCCAGGCAGCGAGATCTAAACGGTGCTTAAAAAGATGCACGGGAAACAGGCAGGAAGGAAGTGCAGCTGCAGCGGGTTGGGGGGCATCTCACCCCCTGCACGCGTGGGGCCTTTTGATGGCTCTCAACAGCTGACCTCGGTGACACCCAGTCAAACCCCTTTGTCTTACTGTGACGCTTAATGATGGATGCCACAGATTCTCGGCTACTTTCGGGAATTAGACTAGTCTCCTTCTGGTATTTAAGATTTGTTTTCAATGTTTACACAAATAAAAACATTCCTTTTTTAAAATGTTCATCTGAAGCTTACCTTCCAAGCTCTGGCTCTGGCCCCGGCCCGTCCCAGGGACGCTAAACCTGGCGCAGCCGCGGAGGTGCGGGCGGAGAGCGGGAGAAGGAACAACAAAGGCCCGCCCTCCACCACTTCCTCTTACCGTTCCTCCCCTCTGCGGTTGGGCTGGGAACCGGCTGGGGAGGTGCCGGTCTTCCCACCTGACTGCCTAGGGGAAGCAGCTGTTTCTCTGTTGATTGGCTGCTACTCTTCCAGACTTCTTCCTCCGCGTGGCAGCACTTAAAAACTGGCTCTCTTGTGCAAACCTTTCTGAATTTCACCTCCCTTATCTGTACAATGGAAAGAAAGCAAACTTCCTTATGTTGGAACACTGTCAACTGTAAAGCACTATGTAAACTGTATTGGCTATACTTTTTAAAAAGATTTTATTTATTTTTAGACAGACGGGAAGGGAAGGAACAGGAGAGGGAGAGAAACATCAGTGTGTGGTTGCCTCTTGTGCGCCCCACATTGGGGACCTGGCCTGCAACCCAGGCATGTGCCCTAACTTTTTAGTTCGCAGGCCCGGTACTCAGTCCACTGAGCCACACCAGCCAGGGCTACGTACTCTTTTGAGGAGCCTATTATTTGAAATGTCTATTATTATTTGAAGTGGGTATCTCCACTCGGAGATCAAATAGGTATTTCACTTAAAAGTAGAAACAGAACCGGTGAATTTCCCTTCAGACTCAACATTCAATCCACGAACTGACCCTGCTGGCTGTTCTTTTAAACTGTGTCTACCCCATCCAAGCCACGTCACCTCTGTCTAGAAACTGTCCTCCAACTGATCCCCCTTCTCCATCCCTGCCTCCTTGTGATCACTGCAGCCCGAGTAAGACTTCTCAAACGTAAACTGGCCGTGTTACCTTTGGCTCGAAACTCTCCAATGACTTTCCATCTCACTCAAAGCGAATGGGAAGCCCTGGCCCAGGTGGACCAGGCCCCAGATGACCTGGCCCCCAGCTCCCTCTCTGACCTTGCTCGTACCACTCTCCCCCACTCTCCCCCTCACTCACTCAGCTCCAGCCACGTGGGTCTCCTCCCTGTCACTCTCAGAAGCCAAGCCTGCTCCTGCCTCAGGGCCTGTGCATGCCTGAGTCCCCTTGCCTGGAACACCCTTTCTCCAGACAGTCACAGGACTCGCTCCTTCACCTCCACAGACGTGTGCTCCCTGGCACCGAATCTAAAACGACGCACTCTTGCCCTACGCCTCTTCCCTGCCTTTCTTCCTTCTTAGTACTTAGCACCCCTGCCACGTTGTATATGTATCTGTTTATGGTCTGCCTTCCCCCATTAGAATGCAGACTCTGCCCACTGCCACATTACATCCAACACCCAGTACAGAAACGGATTCCTTCCAAACATTTCTTTGTAATGACCATTTCATAGTTACACTCACTCAGGTCCAATGGCAGTTTTCACACCCTGGAGTCTCCCGAAGTGGGCTCCCTTCCTTGTGTCCTGGGGAAAGTCACATGCTTACCTCTATGTCCTGAAAGGGAACACGAGCCTATTTTCCATGTTCACCTGTGAGTGGAAGTACACTGGCACTTGGGGTACGGGGTCTGAGAGAAGGGTATGCCCCTAGTGTCTTACCATCTTTAACCCTCCTTCACCAGATGCCTGCAGCTGGTTGGAGGCTGGCAATGTTCGTTATGCCACAGCCCATTTTCTGGAAAGTCATGTTGTGGAAAAGACAAATACGTATAAACAACCAGAAATGTGACCCGGGGGGTAAGTGCAAGGAATTTGCTGCATTTACAGAGGGTGGAGGGACGAGGCCCCAGCAGGACATTCACCCAGGGTTCCTCAGAGTTGCTACTGGCCTTCAAAGGAGGGAGGTGGGACCCTGTACACGAACTCGGGGGACACTCCCATCTACCTTCACCACCCTCCTTGCCTCAGCTTTCACAGGCGGCCAAAATAAAACTCTGTAGCACTGTGTCCGCATGGGGACTATGCTTGACCCCAGGCTGCTTTGTCTGAAGGGGAGAAGAAACCCGTCTCTATTGTCAGTACAGAAGCTGAACCTCACAAAATGACTAGCTCTTTTCAGGCCCACGTGGTCACGACACTCATGGTCTTCCGGTGCTGCAGGCCCTCACCCTGCTCCCCTGACTGGCATTGGCCATGGGCCACCTTGCACCCTGCCCCTCACACAGAAAGCTGCACTTCCCAGAACTGTCCTCACCCAGCAAGCTGCTCTCGTCCCCCTCAGACCTGCCTGAACTGGCTGGGGCACTCCACAACAACCTTCTATTTTCCCTGGGCAGAGCTTGGCTCTGGCCCCAACCCTTGGCCTCCAGATGCACCTATATGCAACTGCCCAGGAGGGACCAGCAGGGGGAGCCAGCAAAGTTCGGATTCTTCAGCTAGACAGGAGGGTCAAGCATAAAAGCTACTAGTACTTACTCAAAAGGCTCAGATAACTTTCTCCCCATTTAAAATACACAGCTGATTGTGTGGTTCCAGCAAATGGACAGCCGAACAGAACTCATCCACTCAGGCACAAACAACTATCTACTAAGCACCTAACACGTGCCAGGCTAGGCACTGCATATAAAGAATACTGTTTAAGTCCCTAACCGAATTCAGACACTAGAACTGATGAACTGGGAGAACTGGTGAGCGGAGGTCCAAGCACTTGGGTCAAAGTGAAGGTGTGTGACAGCTTCACGGGACTCTGGGAGTGGGAGAAACAAAAGAAAAGAGTTTGAGGCCAGGAAATTCCTATGATTTTCACCAATGCGAAAACCTGCCGGAGAACGCATGCCGAGCTCAGTAAAACCGCTGGAAGCACCCTGAGTGGGAGCACACACCCGAGTCTCTCAGGGAAACAGTGAACAGTTTCTAGTGAAACTAGAAAGCTGGGCCAATAAAAAACCGAAACTGAAACTGAAAGCTTGGTCAATATACTGATCTTGGTTCCCAACAATCCAGAGGGGAGAGGGAGTGCCTGGGGGGAAAGACGGAACAGGAGTGGCTGGCCACGTGTTGATGACCCCACGAGCTGGGTGACGGGCACCTAGTAATTCATTGTGCTATTCTCTGTACTTTTGCCTACGTTTGAAAATTACCATAGGGAAAGCTTATACATAATCAACGACTTGGTCAATAACCACTACAGTCATGGGAGAAAACTGAACATCTCTGCTCATCCCAAATTCCTAGAGTTCAGAATACACTGAAGCTGTGAACAGTTTCTCTCCCGTCCCCTCTTCTCTCAGATCTGTTGCCAGAGCCTATGATCTTGGTCTTTCAAAGAGTGGCACAGCGACCCTGGCTGGTGTGGTTCAGTGGGTCGAGTGCTAGCCTGTGAAACAAAAAGTTCACCGGTTCAATTCCTGGGGCCAGGTCCCCAGCTAAGAGTGTGCTGGAGGCAACCAATTGATGTTTCTCTCACACATCAATGTTTTTCTCCCTTTCTTTCTCCCTCCCTTCCCCTCTCTCTAGAGATGAATAAATAAAACCTTTAAAAAAAAAAGGAGTGGCACAGTGTATGTGAGTTATTTTGCTGGGGCTCCCTATCTGTGTTATTCACAAGAACAGGTAAAATGAAACTCAAAACCTCCCTTGGGGAAAATACTGAGATGTCAGCTCTATCTTCCACTGCCCAGCAGGGAAGGAGTGTTCAGTAATGCTGATGAGAAGAGAATCCACAGGAGTGGAGGATGAATTCTGTTCCCAGAAGCACTGTGAGGTCACTGGGCAGCCTTGAACAAGTGCCGTAATCTCTGGAAGTTCCCCCTTTCTAAAGATAGTGATGCACTACGTATGCAAATAACACTCGCAAATGCTTGAGATAAGTTCAAAAGACAGGTTCTTTCTCGTGTGGCATCTCTAGGGCAATAATTTACAAAAAAGCATACAGCAGGTTCGAAGGCTGGTACCACTCTTGACCTCAGGGAAGTTCTGAGTCAAGAAAGAGGTTTCCTTGGCAGGCCTCAGAGGTTCAGTCCACACCTGGCAGGAAGTATGGGGTCTGAGCTGAGGCGGATGGGAGTAGTTCAAGTTCTGGTCAGGAAGGACTAAAAACAGCAGCCATCACTCCCTGGCATCCAGGGGTGGCACCTGACAGCTACTCCTGAGTCTGGGTTCAGGAGAAACAGTGCAAACAAGGCTGTGTAGAGCAGTAAAAACCAACCCAGCAAACGGGGTCAAACAAGAGCTTGACAAAACCACCCATAGCACAGTAAGGCAATAAAACAAACGCTTTGTAATGATTCTAAATGATACGGGTATTGATTATAGAAATGGTCCACATGGAAATACCTGCTCCAAAAAAAAGTGAAAAGTAAAAAGGGAACAAAATACTGATGATATTATGCAAATGTACTACAAATCAGAAGTGCATTAGGAGTAAGAAAAGTAGAGCATTCACAAAGCTGCAGTGATCAAAACACTACAGTACTAGTATTAGGACAAACACAGCTATCAATGGAATAGAATGGACAGTCCAGAAATAAATTCATACATCTATAGTCCATTGATTTTTCCACAAGGGTAAGAGCATTCCGTGGGCAAAGGATGGCCTTTCAACAAACAGCGCCCGGACAGCCGATACACACGTGACGCCAAAGGTACAAGCAACCAAAGAAAAAACAGGTAAGTTAGGCTTCGTCAAAATTAAAAACTTTTGTGCACCAAAGGACTATCAAGAAAGTGAAACTACAACCCGCAGATTGGGAGAAAATAACTCATATATCGATAAAAATCTAGTATACAGAATAGATAAGAAACTTGCAACTCAACAACAATAAAGACAAACAACCCAATTAAGAAATAAGGACGGCAATAAACATTTCTCTACAGAAGATAAACAAGTGGTGACAGGCACCCACCCACGTCTGTGAGGGGGCCGCTGGATTATCCATCCCACTGTCGGGTCAGGACTAGCGTCTCTTAGGAATCCAGGGAGGAGATGGTAAAGCTCCAACAAGCAAAAATACTCAAGTGACAACACTGTAACCTTCTTAAGATTCTTTGAGCTGACACTGGTCACAAAACTGAGAGGAAGCCAAATACTATAAAAGCTATTTCCAGATAATTTGGATCTGTGTAACCAGCGTAAGAGCAAAACCAGAGGTTTAGCTAGGCTCTAGCTTCTGACC